CGTTTTTTATACATATTGTAAGCACTTTTTTAAAGAATAACCTGTTTATTTATTGGCTATACTATGGTCTGCCTATGTTCAGTTTGATTACAAATGGTACACCATGGAGTGGAATATTGGCAGTGGAGGAGATCTCTGAGGCGTATTTGTTCACTATGAGATTCCATTCTTTAGACCTAGGAGGATCTGGTAAGGTGCATGAACCATGAAGTGGTGGGTCACCTGAGGTAGATTGAGCACTAGTAGGTGATCACAAAGATTGCAGGAGCACGGGCACATTGGCACTATTGTTTTCCATTTGAATTGAAGATACTATATATGATATTATCTTTTTTGGGGGAGTATTTGATTATGAAAGAAGAAGTAGGAAAATCAAGTGTTTGTCAAGATTCATCCCCGTTTAATAAGGAAGGATTTTTGATTGGAGAGTAAGAGTAGGAATTACGGATATAGATTGATGTCACATGGTGAAAAATTGGCACAATATGAGCACTTTGATGTGAGTGTAATACATTATAGTGTATTTATATCTATAAAGATAATGCACTATATACGTTTTATTATTTTTGCATGAGGGCCTGACACTTTTAATAAAGGAGGAAGAGAAATACACATTTTGAGGTGTTTGCACAGGAATTCGAACACTTGAAAAAATAAACACTGACACTTTTTTAAGAGAGGAGGAAGAGGAGTACACTTATTTTGCTTACACATGAATTGAATATTTGAAAAATTAAAGGTAAGAACCTTTTAAGGATTGAAGATTTTCTTGAATATCCTACGTGACTGTGAAAAAGGATATTGTTATATATATGGGTTTGGGTGCTGTGTTTTTGCATATAATAATCTGGCAATGTATCAGATAACCACAGAATAATATAACAACACATTTTAGCTTGATAAACTGTATAGCCTGGGTTAGACATGTTTAACAGAGTATATCTTTCCAGGATCTGGATCTTTTGGGCCTCTTGCCCAGGAAGAAATCAGCATAGAATATATTGAAAGATGGAGAAATAAGTGTTACAATTAAATGAGTTAGTCAATGTTAGCTGAAAATATTTTAGTTGCGTAAAAATGCATCAAAATGATAGTAGTTATAAAAGAGACTACAGAGAGGTTTTTTTTATGTTGTAGGAGGTTTGGGCATCTTTGCTTGTACATTGTAAATGCAGTGACGATAAGTTATGAGGAAATATCTAGATAAAAACGTCTGCTAGGCTGGAACATTTTATATTATTCTGAATCCAGTGGTAGCGGAGACAAGGAGTCATGTTAAATGGAATCTGTTTCATGACATCTATTTGACCAGTCTAATTCCTAAGGCAGTTGCCCACTCCTGCTCCTTGGCCACATACAGTGCCATTTGAGCAGTGCCACCATCAGGGGGGACACAGCCCATTCACGTGTAGGGGCCTGGTACTCACACCTTTACCTAGCTGCCTCCACCCGCTTCTCTCCCTACAGCACCTGCAATAATTAACAATATCCACCAGCTCTAACCTGAGCAGTAAACAGAAGCACCAGTCCAGCACCTAGACAATCGGCGCTAAAAATGTGCAGCCGCCATGGGCCCTGCACGATACCATCACCACATAACTGTGAGAGGGGGAAGAGCTGAGTGAGATCAAGTGGAAGAGCCAGCAGGCACAGCAGCAGGAATGGCATGGGAACCCTTAGCCTCAGGCACAGGTTCTTTATCTTCTCTGCATTCTTTATACAGAGCATGTACAGTCTGCAAATGATGGAAAACTTTGTACAGGCTTAGTGGATGTTTGCTATATGGAGAGTCTCTTTGCTATATGGGGATACCTCTTTGCTTGATTGGGATGTCTCTTTGCTGAATATATGGGGCTGTCACTTTACTGCATTGGGCCATCTCTTTGTTGAATATATGGGGATGTCTTTTTGCTGGATTGGGCTGTCTCTTTAAAAAGGGAACAGACTTAGTGTTAGTGTAGGGTCCTGCTCACAAAAGCCTACCTTATCGTGGTGGCAGGCTTCATATTTTTTGGCTAAAATATAATTCCTTCCTGTTAAATCTTGAAAGCACTGATGACTTGGAATATACTTTTCATTTTCATATATTTTAAGTTGTAAGAGTGTTAAAATAAAAGTGGGTGCACTGCTGGACTCAGTGGGATAGCCAGTGGGTGGTCCCTGGGGAATGTCGGCGGTCAGGCCCGGGGGGGCCAGGCCTAAAGTTGTGTAAGGGGCTCCAAAATTTCTGATGGCTGCCCTGCATTTGAGTGCCATAGCAATCAAGGTAATTACAGTGAGGGTTATTCTACAGGTCAGATAATGGCAGCATCTGCAGGAGCCTTTTCTATCAAACAAGAACCATGAGAACAGATTTCCTTTCAAATATATAATTGTAGGGAAAAAGTATAAAAAAAAACAATGGCATAAGTGTAAGAACCACTTAATTGCTCTCAGAAGTGATCCATGGACCCCCCTCCCCCCTTCCCCCCATATTTTTTTTGAAGAATGAGCTCTACTCTTACTGTCATGGTTTCTGGATAGAGTGAAAAAGGTAGAATGTTGTATTGTGGAACATAGGCTACTCTCCAGAACCTACAAGAAAGGCTTTGCATATTAGAACCAGGGAGCATTCAGGGCAATTGTGGTGGGTTTAGTTAATACAATGCCTATATGTATGCCCTAAGTTTACTTCTCATCAAGGGTTTAATGTAAACTTTCTATCCCATATGAAACATGAAAAAGTAGTGTAGCACCCTCCTCCGTAGGTGCTAGATTTAGTTAGAATTAGTTATTATTTTTTGATAGGTAAATTTAGTTGTCACTCAGTAGTCAGAGTGACTGTAAATATTTGTTAGGAAAAAGCTTAGTTAGCTCACTATACTTGGTGAGCTGTGATCATTTAGCTAGCTCTGCACTGTGTACTCAGCTGCTGCCAGTATGCCTAGCATCCTCTGTATCCAGGAAACTTTAGACGCTTCTGGATGATAGGTGTGGAGTTATGCAGATTTCATCATGATTCTTGACACAGCCTCAGTCTATCCCAGAGAGACTGGCTCTGAGGGCATGCTGGGTAACTGTACTGTATATTCAGCCAGCACACGGGGCTCTGGGTTCTTTCTTGTCAAGGACTGATCCAGCCTGGGAGAGGGCACGCTGCCTTCTCAGGCATCTACTGCCTATCAGCCTCAGGTGGATGACCTGAGGGCCTGAATACTGAGACCTGGGTTCTGCTATGCTGACTGAGGAGCTGTCCACTGAAGATCTGGTCAGGCATCCAGCTACTTTTAGTCCTTGTGAATTCAGACATCCTTAAAGGATCTTAGAGACTGTGTGCTGTTTAACCTCCTCTGTTGCTAGGAAGTTAGCTGTGGGTTTAACAAAGGGAACACCAGCTGGTATTCTGAAGAGCTTTGCACACCTGGCCTACTTTTAAAGGGACACTGCTCTGGGGCTCTAAAGAAGTTACTGCTACTACAACTACCAGTGTTACTGCTGCTACTACTACTACTACTACTACTACTACTACTACTACTACTACTACTTTTTATTACTGCCTTAAAGCTGAACTCCACTGTTTGATTCACGTATGGACTCTGACATAGCTTGCCCTGAAGATTAGATAAAGTCCTCAAGAGTTCCTATTTTTGGAGTATTCCACTCATCTCCCTAATCCCTATCCAAGTTCTCCAAAAGTGAAAACAATAAAAACAACACTCCTAGACTGGTTATTGGAGAAACGTGTGAATGAGCCTATGTGCCTGACTGCAGGGCAAAGTAACTGGGGAGGACCTGGACAGTATTCCCGTAGCTCCTACGGGAGTACCGCTACAGTAGTATATGTTAGTGTTAGACATCATTTCATAAATAATTATACACAATGCAAAGTACTGTAACTTTTTTGCCAAGGATCGATGTCAAGAATTAGAGTTTTAACCCCTTCACGCATAAGGGTAAAACAAATCTAAATGCCTAAGCACAATTCTGCAACGTTGACATGTGTTAGTAAAACCGTACAAATAACCACAACTACTTTGTACATCCAGGTGAATTATACCGCATTTTTTTCAGGACAAATTGGGCTTTCATTTGATGGTAAATGGTAATGGATAGCTCCTAATTTTTTTTTTATTATTAAAAGGAAAACTGGGCCAAAATAGTAAAAAAAAAAATTGTTTTTTTTTATTTAACTGTGTTTCTTGTTACGACCATAACCTACCACCAAAGAACAACCCAAAATAAATTCTCCGGTTCTTGACGATCGCAGCGATACCATATATGTGTATGTTATTTGTTGTTTGTACCCGTAGTACAGCCAGAAACAATAGTGCGCATTTTGTTTTTGTGTTTTGTTTTTTTTTACACAAAACACACTGTCACTGACACTGACATTAACACTAACTGACACTGATACTAATTTTTTTAAATCCTGACCTTTGACCCTGACCTTTGACCCTGACCTTGACTCAAACACTAACCCTGGTACTGAACTAGATCAAACTTTGATCTAGGTATTTTTCTTTATTTTTTATTCTATTTTTTAATATTTATTTATTTATCTTTTTTTTTTTTTTTTTTACAAACTTTTTTTTTATCTCTCTGTCAGGAGTTCGAGAGATACAATGTATCTCTCTTCTCCATTCATAGAGAGAGAGAAAACAAGGGGGCTGGGCTGCACAGTGACTGATCACTGTGATAGCCAATCAGAGGCTATCACAGCGATCACGTGACCCGGGAACGGGACCCGGGGCTCTCAGTGACACCGCGGTCTCGGTGCTGGGAGCGCGCCGAGCGGCGCGCTCCCAGCACAAAGACAGGTACGCATATATGCGGCCCCACGGAAAAAAGCCCAGGTCCGTGAGGCCGCATATTTGTGTTACGTCGGCGTCAAGGGGTTAAGCAACATGAGCAATCACAAATGCACATACCGTAAATCTGAAAGGTAGCATGTTATTAATTTAAAATCACGTATTTTTATGGAGTACCTGGATGACTCTTATCCTTGTGGTATTAAAACATACCTGTCTATAGAATGTTGATCAAGCTGGTTAAACTGCCAGTGAACAGGATACACATACATGTGGTAGTTTTTCTGAAAATCCTTCACCAAGAGCTCAATGTTGTGATCACCTTCCTCCAGACGCTTCTCATTCTCATAGATTTTTTTAACCTATTATAAGAAACCATAACTCTTATTTCATCACAAAATGTGCAAGGACTATAGTAGGTGAAACAGAACTGTAATAAACTATCATTAAATATGTATTCATATTTGTCCCTGCAGTCTCTACAAAAATGACCCTATGCTGTACCTTGTGCATCTGACATTTAAAGTGTTACTAAACCCACCACAGTAAAATCAATCAGAATATGCAGTAAAGCATGCTCGTTATACTCACTGTGGAACCTAAGGGGTTAATCCTCTGCATTGTGTAAAAACACTGTTTGATCCTGACTTCTCTGATCCTTCCCTTCTTCCAGTGTCCCCCTCTTATCTCCTGATAAGACCTATCGTGTGGAGTGACTCTGCACATGCTCAGTTTGGTATGTATTACTAGAGAGGGTTTTTTTTTCCTTGGGAGAGTGCATGTGATCAGTAGAGAACCAATCAGCACTGTCCAGACAGAGGTTAGAGGTCCTGTATCCTCCTAGAGCAAGATGAAAACTCCTCCTACAAGCTTTAACCAGTGCTCTGCTGGACACTGATAGAAGTCATGTGTTACCGGAGTTCCCTCGTTTGCATATGTACACGCTGTTTTTACCAGTGTTGGTGGAGACACTGTAGATAGTGAGTGAGATTCTCTCTTTTTAAATGGAATAAAGCTATTGACAGTTTTACACTATGGAGTTTCCTCTTTCTTCTTATGTAATTCCATCCCTTTTCGTGAGGATTGACCAGTCAAGTAGGAGTCAGAGATATTGCTGCAGATCGTTGCTCCCAGAGCCACTGTATGTCAGTTGGTTTATGATTTGACCAGCCTGGAGCTCTGGTGAGTTTATTCAATCTGTTTGGGTGGTGTATCAGCACGGTGTGGTGTTTAAATTACACATGAATTGAAGAACCATTATATGTATGAATTATCTTCCCATTTAATTTTACTTTACACATGGACTTTTTTTTTGATTATGTAGACATTGGCTGGGTGTATTTTGTTTAAATAATTTTTTGTTTTATGTGGGATATATTTATGTTCATCTTTTATATACACATGTAAGAAAAAATGTATTGATGTGACACACTAAATATTTTGACATATTAAAGGCATGGTATATGCTTGTTGCAGACACAGAGGAGGATAATAGGATATAAAAGAGAGGGTGTGGAGGAGCGCTGTTTTAAAAAATTACTGTTAGAAGTCACAAGGCTGCTCTAACTGCTGATGAGAAAAGGTATTTAGCAGTTTATATTTACTAACATAATTGCATTTCCATGTTCTGTGTCCTGTTGGAGATCAGATACAGTGAATGCAGGGTCCTGGGTTTAGTAACACTTTAAGGCGGATCTTTTTAAACTCCCCCTCTCCTCTATATGTCAAAATTATTTTCAGTACTAATCTGGAAAAGAATAATGGTAATAGATATAAAAGAATGAAAGAGAGTGAAAACAGTTTTGCTCCATCACATTTCTGTCAGTGAAGTGACACCATCCCATTGAGTATTTGTGTAATGTCCCCTTAGAATAGTGGTCAGTGGAGGTAACCCCCGCCCTTATTATTGTGCCTCTTAAATTGTTGGTCAATGTAGTGCCCTCTCACACTGGTAGTCATTGGAGAAACCCCTTCTTACACTGGTGATCAATGTGGAAAGGCCACTTACATTGGTGATCAGTGAAGTGCCCCCTCACACTGGTGGTTGGTGTAGGAAGTCCCCCTTTCACTAGTAGTCAGTGGAGAAGGGCTCCCTAAATTGGTGATCAGTGGAGAAGTTCAGCAGAAAACTCTATTTTAATTATGCAATGTGCAATACCTGTATTCTTTATTCATATCAAATTCTTATCTTCCCATGTCATCTGAAATGTCAATTGTGAAAAATTCAGGCATTGTTTGAATATTTTATAAAACAGGGTTACAACCCTCCAGGAAATCTATTTTGGGCTTAGATAGGGTAGTCAATCAAATTATATGGTGAAAGCATAACCAATAGTTGAGGTTGTAGGAATTAAAGCAGATACTTGGCCCATGCCATTAGAAAATGTAACAGGCCCACCTTTCACCCACTAGAAACCAGATTATGCATGTATGTATGACGGCTCTGGATTCTTCACCTGACATAACTTTAATGGTGTTTTATTAACCACTTGCCTACCAGGCACTTTCAGCCCTTTCCTGCCCAGGCTAAATTTCAGCTTTCAGTGCTTGCACACTTTGAATGATTATTGCGCCGTCATGTAACACTGTACACATATGTAATTTTTAGCATTTTTTTTTTAGACCAAAAATTTTGACTTTTTTTTTTTGCTTAGTGTCTGTTATAAAATTTTGCAAACAGGTAATTTTCCTTCTTCGCTGATGAGGCTGCACTAATTGGCACTGATATGCAGCACTAATGGGTACTGATAGGCTGCACTGATGGGTACTGATGAGACGGTATTGATGAGGCTGCACCGATAGGCAGCACTGCTGGGCACTGACAAGGAGGCACTGATATGCAGCACTGATGGGCATTGATAGGTGGCACTGAAGGTCACTGATTAGCAGCACTGATGGACACTGATTGGCAGCACTGATGGACACTGACTGGCGGCACTGATGGACACTGACTGGCAGCATCGATGGACACTTTTAGGGCTGGGGGCTGCACTGGACTTCCTCTTATTTTTAAATTACCTACTCTTCTCTTTCCTCATGCTGTGACAGTGTGAGGAAAGTACAGCCAATAACCGGCAACTGTATTTACATTGAGATCAGCTGTGTCATTGGACACAGCTGATCACATGGTAAAAGGGTGTTGTGATTGGCCCTTTACCATGGCATGTGATCAGCTGTGCCCAATGGACATAGTGATCACAGAGCTCGCTGGATGCGGGCCCCAGAGGACGCGCAGGAGGCGCGGTTCTGGATGACATCATATGACACCCTCCCAGAACTAGACAACCGTGCTGTAGCCATCCAGTGGTTAACACACAAAGAAAAATAGTCCTCTTTTGTATAGGTAATGAGAGGGAAGTACTTTGGAATATTGGCCTTCTTCTTTTGTCCCTGATATTTAGTATCTGTATAATCAACTGCAAGATATGCACACCTTAGCTTCCTCTGTTGATTGAGAACATCACAAAACACATGCTTTTGGCAATAGGATAATCTCACCTTGTTTCTCTGCTTCTCTGAGAGAAGGTTTGGATTTTCCAGACACCTTTCATACAGTTGTATGAGAACATTTTTCAGCCAGTCTCTCATTCTGAAGGGAAAATGAGCAAGTTCATAGTCTGTACATGGTGGGATGTCTATAAAAATGTAGAAATAAATTAGACCAAATAAATCATTTAGTACATATTGACATGCTCAAACTCAAGTAAAATGCATAACACATGCAGAGACTTGCAGAAATACCGCCTGTCTTTTTTGATTTAGGCTCTTTATATGTGCTATGATCACATATTTATTTTCTGTTATTAGCCTGTGATATAATTCATGTTTTGTTAAATAATGTCTGCACTCATGTTTTTCTAGACTGAAACTAGCTATACAAATACAACCCTGTTATTATCAATAGAGCCTTTAATGGTACAGTAAAATTCCTTTGACTTGGCTCTGTGTGACAATGAAATGCCATGTTTTTTCCCCAACCATGTAAACAGAGTATGTTAATAAGCATAGACACTGCATTCACGTATGACTTTACCAACAAACCTGTTAAAAATAAAACCGATTGGCTTTCCGTGTTGCCAACTGTGTGTTTTACAGACAGTCAGTAAAAACCTGGTACTTTTTTCCTGCCCGTAACAGGAGAAATGTACAAGTGAAAAATGGTTGTGGCAGCTCGGGTTGGAACTGCGCATGCACAGTTCCGGAGCCACTCAAGAGCATGATCCGCGTGTGTTTGGCTGGTGTCGGCGGGAAGGTCTGGCAGAGACTATGGTTGCAAGGTGAGCTTGATGACATCATGGCCAGATTCACACTGTACTGTGCCAGCTGCTATGAAAACCCAGGCGCCAAGCGGCTGGCGCCAGAGTCAGAGCAGTGCCTAGTGTGACTGACAAGACTGTGCGTAGTCTGCTGACAGATGGAAATGAGTGAGTCGGACCATCAAGGACCAGGCACTAACCTGAGTAGTGGGCACTGGGTGCTGAAAAGTTAACATACTTGCCTCAGTCACCTGGGAAGTGGGGACTGAGCAGCAGCGAAGACTCTATGCACAGAGCAATGTGTGGGTGCTGACTCTGAGTCGGGTGCTGCTAAGCCTGAGCTGGAGGCCTGGGGCTGGTTCCTAAGGATTTAATAACTTTATTCTGGTGACAAGTTAATAAAGGGTTAATGCACACACACTGGGGATCATTCATTAAAGCTGGAGAGTGCAACATCAAGTGCACTTCTGCATAGAAACCAATCATTTTCTAACCTCAGCTTGTTCAGGTAAGCTTTGGCTATTAAACCTGGAAGCTGATTGGTTTCTATGAAGAAGTGAGCCTGATTTTGCACTCTCCAGCTTTAGAAAATAAACCCTCCTGCACGTATTTATCACTGAAGTGTTGATAGGAAGGCAGATCACATTATACACTGCTCAAAAAAAATTAAAGGAACACTTTGAAAACACATCAGATCTCAATGAGTAAAAATATGATGTTGGATATCTATATTGATATGCACTGGGTAATGTGTTAGGAATGTAAGGATGCCCCATCGTTTGATGGAAATGAAAATTATCAGCCTACAGAGGACTGAATTCAAAGACACCCCGAAAATCAAAGTGAAAAAATGATGCAGCAGGCTTGTCCATTTTACTGAAATTTCATTGTAGCAACTCAAAATGTTATTCAGCAGTTTGTATGATCCCCACGTGCTTGTATGCATGCCTGACAACGTCTGGGCATGCTCCTAATGAGACGACAAATGGTGTCCTGGTGTATTTCCTTCCAGATCTGGACCAGGGCATCATTGAGCTCCTGGACAGTCTGAGGTGCAACCTGGTGGTGTAAGATGGACCGAAACATAATATCCCAGAAGTGCTCTATTGTATCTAGGTCAGGCGAGCATGGGGGCCATTAAATGGTATCAATTCCTTCATCCTCCAGGAACTACCTGCATACCCTCACCACATGAGGCCAGGCATTGTCGTGCACCAGGAGGAACCCAGGACCCATTGCACCAGTGTAGGGTCTGACAATGGGTCCAAGGAATTCATCCCGATACCTAATGGCAGTTAGGGTGCCATTGTCTAGCCTGTAGAGGTCTGTGTGTCCCTCCATGGATATGCCTCCGCAGACCATCACTGACCCATCATCAAAACAGTCATACTGAATGATGTTACAGGCAGCATAATGTTCTCCATGGCTTCTCCAGACCCTTTCACGTCTGTCACATGTGCTCAGAGTGAACCTTCTCTCATCTGTGAAAAGCACAGGGCGCCAGTGGTGGACCTACCAATTCTGGTGTTCAATGGCAAATGCCAATCGAGCACTATGGTGCTGGACAGTGAGCACAGGGCCCACTAGAGGATGTTGGGCCCTCAGGCCACTCTCATGAAGTCTGTTTCTGATTGTTTGGTCAAAGACATTCATACCATTGGCCTGCTGGAGGTCATTTTGTGGGGCTCTGGCAGTGCTCATCCTGTAGCTCCTTATACAAAGGAGCAGATACCAGTCCTGCTGATGGGGTGAGGACCTTCTATGGCCCTGTCTAGCTCTCCTAGAGTAACTGCCTGTCTCCTGGAATCTCCTCCATGCTCTTGAGACTCTGCTGGGAGATACAGCAAACCTTCTGGCAATGGCACATATTGATGTACCATCCTGGAGGTGTTGGACTGCCTGTGCAACCTCTGCAGGGGGAGTACAACAGGGGGAATCAATGGTGGAGATGGATCTGGGAGTTCTGGCGGATCACAAGCTTAATAATGGCATGCAATGCCAAGCTGCAGTTTCTAAAGCGAGCAAAATCCTCTCTTGTATTAAAAGAGGTATAGACTTCAGAGAGATTAGTAACACCTCATCTAGAATATGCAGTTCAGTTATGGGCAACAATTCACAAAAAGAACATTGGGGAACTGATGAAAGTGCAACCAAACTGATAAGAGGCATGGGTGACTAGAGGAACTGAATTTATTCTGTCTTGAGAAGAGGTGATTAAGGGCGGGGGGATATATGATCAACATGTATAAATACATCAGTGGTTCACATAGTGAACTCGGTGTAATGTTATTCAACCTAAGGTCATCGACCAGGACAAGGGGGAACTCTTTACATCTGGAGGAAAAGAGATTTAATCTCCAAATATGGAAAGGTTTCTTCACATTAAGAGCTGTGAATATGTGGAATAGACTCCCTCAAGAGTTGGTTCTGGCCAGCTCAGTGGATTGCTTTAAAAAAGGCCTGGATTATTTCTTAGATACACAGAATATAACTGGTTACTAACATTAATAGGGAAAATCCAATTGCCTCTTGGGGGATCAGGAAGGAATTGTTTCCCTTGCATGAGCAAATTGGATCATGCTTTGCTGGGTTTTTTTGCCTTCCTCTGGATCAATGGTGGGTATAGGATTATAACTTATAACTTTTTGGGGGATTTGTTTTGGTTGAACTGGATGGACTTTTGTCTTTTTCAGTCAGACTAACTATGTAACTATGTAGGGTTCAGGTATTGCCTCATGCTACCAGTAGTGACACTGACCCTAGCCAAATACAAAACTAGTGAAGAATAGTCAAAAAAGACGAGTAAGAAAACAAATGTCAGTTGCCTCCACCTGTAAAACCATTACTGTTTTGGGAGTCATCTCATTGTTGCCCATCTAGTGCACCTGTTGTTAATTTCATTAACACCAAAGCAGCTGAAACTGATTAGCAACCCCCTCTGCTACTTAATTGACCAGATCAATATCCCAGGAGTTTAATTGACTTGATACTATATTCTGATTAAAAAGTGATCCTTTAAGCTCAAAGTGGATGTTTTAGCATTTTAGTTTGGAATACCGTAGCTTCTTTATTCTTCTTTCAACACTACATTGGGAAACACGCAGGGAAAAAAATTAGTTTCTTAGCATAACATTTGGATAAAATCAAGTTAGGTTGGCAAGGGTACAAATTAGCACAACAGTGACTTTTTCATAGGTTTGTGATTGCTAACAATCCAAATGACATTGGGTTCATGACTCATCTAATGTTCATCTAGATCACGGCTGTCAAACTGGTGGCCCTCCAGCTGTTGCCAAACTACAAGTCCCATGATGCATTGCAAGATTGACAGTTACAAGCATGACTCCCAAAGGCAGAGGCATGATGGGACTTGTAGTTCTGTAACAGCTGAAGGGCCACCAGTGTGACACCCCTGATCTAGATAATCCAATTATATTGTTGGATATAAAAATAAACTATTTCAATAAATTTAATATATTATTGAAGATTAACCTGGGGTGGAGAAGTTTTTACATATCTTATCATGGATTTTTAGGGGAAAATAAACTTATGCCATCACATCATTTCCAATGTAATGTGAAAGCATTGGGGATGATTTAAAAAAAATCAAGAGTGCAAAATCTGGTGCAGCTGTGCTTAGAAACCAATCAGTGTCCAGGTTTTATTGCCAAAGCTTAGTTGAACAAACTGAAGTTAGAATCTGATTGGCTACCATGCACAGCTGCACCAGATTTGGAGTGCTTCAGTTTTAGGAAATCTCCCCACTGCGTTTACAATGATGTGCTACATGCACTCCTATGGAGGAAGACTGGAAACCTAGGAGGTGTCTGATTTAGCTCGTAATCTCAGTGATGGATTGCGGGTGTCACTGATACCTATTCCATCCTACACTCGGAGCCTACAGAGCCGCTGATTTCCTGGACCATTTTAAAACAGCTCTGAAACAAAGGAGCACTGACCCTCCTTCGAAGGCTCTTTGGTTTGCTAGAGTCAATGTTCTTTGGGATATGGAGGAACTTACAGCCACCCTGTGTAACACAGAAGAGTCAGGCACCAAAACATGGAGACCATGGAACTATTTTGTGTGTACTGACTCCTACCTAAACAAACTGCCCGCTTCCCAGTGAAGTCTGCTTTGCTGTATCCTGTGCCAGGGGAGGGACGACTCCACTTCCCTTCCCCTCCTATCCTCCATCCTTTCTTCTCCCTCCCTTCTTTTTCTCTCTCACTTTCTTTCTTTACCTTCTCTGTTCCCCATTTGGGAACTCACAGCTATTGGCTTTTTTGCCATGTTTTGATCCTGTGGTGTCCAGAGTCACCGACATATACAAGTTAAAGAAGAGCATGCTATCTTGGTTTCAATGGTTATTGTTTATCATTGGGTACCCATGGGATCTGTTGCAGAGCCCATGTCCCTATCTCGTGGACACCTAATAACCCATGTGGTGTTGTTCTACTGATTACCTGGCTACCTGTTATAGCTCTAAAGTCTTGCCTAGCTCATATGTGATTGTATTGCCTGAGTACCCAATTGTGAACATTCATTGTTTGTACTCTATTTGACTTGTGATAATAAAGGAATTACAAAAAAAAACAGCTCTGGCACAAATTGTTGCTATTTCTGTGCTGTTTTAAAACAGAACCTTAAACTGAAAGTTCAGTTAAGCCGCTTCCCATCCGCCCTATAGCAGAAGTACTGCTACAGGGCGGCATGAGTGCGCAAAATCACGTATACAGGTGAAACTCGAAAAATTAGAATATCGTGCAAAAGTTCATTTATTTCAGTAATGCAACTTAAAAGGTGAAACTAATATATGAGATAGACTCATTACATGCAAAGCAAGATAGTTCAAGCCGTGATTTGTCATAATTGTGATGATTATGGCTTACAGCTCATGAAAACCCCAAATCCACAATCTCAGAAAATTTGAATATTGTGAAAAGGTGCAATATTCTAGGCTCAAAGTGTCCTCTAATCAGCCAATTAAGCCATAACACCTGCAAAGGGTTCCTGAGCCTTTAAATGGTCTCTGTCTGGTTCAGTAGGAATCACAATCATGGGAAAGACTGCTGACAGTTGTGCAGAAAACCATCATTGACACCCTCCATAAGGAGAGAAAGCCTCAAAAGGTAATTGCAAAAGAAGTTGGATGTTCCCAAAGTGCTGTATCAAAGCACATTAATAGAAAGTTATGTAGAAGGGAAAAGTGTGGAAGAAAAAGGTGCACAAGCAGCAGGGATGACCACAGCCTAGAGAGGATTGTCAGGAAAAGGCCATTCAAAAGTGTCGGGGACTTTCACAAGCAGTGGACTGAGGCTGGAGTCAGTGCATCAAGAGCTACCACACACAGACGGATCCTGGATATAGGCTTCAAATGTCGTATTCCTCTTGTCAAGCCGCTCCTGAACAACAAAGAACGTCAGAAGCGTCTTACCTGGGCTAAAGAAAAACAGACCTGGTCTGTTGCTCAGTAGTCCAAAGTCCTCTTTTCTGATGAGAGCAACTTTTGCATCTCATTTGGAAACCAACAACAATGTAACCATCTACCAGGAGATTTTGGAGCACTTCATGCTTCCTGCTTCCTTCCGCAGACGAGCTTTATGGGGATGCTGACTTCATTTTCCAGCAGGACTTGGCACCTGCCCACACTGCCAAAAGCACCAAAACCTGGTTCAATGACCGTGGGATTACTGTGCTTGATTGGCCAGCAAACTCGCCTGACCTGAACGCCATAGAGAATCTATGGGGCATTGCCAAGAGAGAGATGAGAGACATGAGACCAAACAATGCAGAAGAGCTGAAGGACGCTATTGAAGCATCCTGGTCTTCCATAAGACCTCAGCAGTGACACAGGCTGATAGCTTCCATGCCACACCGCATTGAGGCAGTAATTGCTGCAAAAGGGGCCCAAACCAAGTACTGAGTACATATGCATGCTTATACTTTTAAGAGGTCCGATATTGTCCTATGTACAATCCTTGTTTTATTGATTGCATGTAATATTCTAATTTTCTGAGATTGTGGATTTGGGGTTTTCATGAGCTGTAAGCCATAATCATCACAATTATGACAAATCACGTAATGAGTAATGCATGTAATGAGTCTATCTCATATATTAGTTTCATCTTTTAAGTTGCATTACTGAAATAAATGAACTTTTGCACGATATTCAAATTTTTCGCGTTTCACCTGTATATATATATATATGTGTTTGTGTGATTTTGCACTTCCGGGTAGGGGGCACGTGTAAGGTACGTGCCTGCCCTAACCTCACCGCCATTCATGGCCGCGGCTGTCAATCACTGGGTCCAGGCCGTTGATTACTTGCCGGCGCCCGGTGATTGTGGCAGGCGCAGCACCCTTTGGTGCCTAGTGCGCTGTGGCATTAGAAAAATTATGCAATTGCTGTTTCTTTGTTTGATTAGACTGACTTTACTCTGTAATTCCTCCAATGCCGCTCTATGGATGCAGTAGGTTTAAAGAGCACACCGAATACTTTAGTTAACTTCTTTAATAACTTCAATCTTCTTCATATAACACTGCTTACAATGGCTTGTTTCTTTCATATTACAATGGTTTAATTCGTATTACATTGGGTTGATTCGATAGCTTATCTCGATAGATTCATTAGATTCGTTAGCTTATGTTGTTAGATTAATTTGTTAAATTTGGTAGATTGTATCGATTATGATTACTCTACAGTGACTTGATTCGGTGGAACTACAAGTAAACACACACAACAGTTTTTACATACAGATCTACCTGCACTGTTAAACAATAGAGGAACACACACACACGTGCATTAAATACCTATTTGGCCTTCTCTGTCTCCATGGAGCTTCTCTGATTGGAACTTTGTCTGTTTCCTCCTCTGTCTGGTGAGCATGTGTCTCTAAAATATTCTAGCAGGGAGTTTTACACAGGCATAAATGTGAAACTGGCTGGGATTGGTTAAGGCTCTGTACAGTGTGAGGCTGTCTGTGATTGGCTCAGTTCTATACTAACTCTTAAAGGCATATTTTCCTTTTCTGCTTCTGCTAACACAATGAATATATAAATGTCATATAACAATCAAAGACATAAATTACAGCAATGATTCTGCTTTTGGCTTTAACATATGCACATATATACTGTACTGAGGTTATTGGCAGGTTTGGTATACACATATATGTGAACCATAGTAGCAACCTAGGACTGGTCTTAGCTGGCCAGCTACAGTGATTGCATAGCATTTCCTACAAGAGAGAGAACTGTTTGTAAACAAAACAGTTCTCTCCCCTGTCAGCTCCAGCACACTGCTTTGCACGACTGTGCGTAGCACAACCATGCAAAGCAGTGTGCTTACAGTGAAGCACAAGCACAGCATACAGTTATACAGCACACAGTTATAAACGGCACACAGTTAACCCTTTGATCGCCCCAAGTTAACCCCTTCCTGCCCAGTGCCATTAGTACAGTGTCAGTGCTTTTTAGTAGCACTGATCACTGTATTGGTGTCACTGGGGATGTCAATGACACCAAGTCAGTTCCCCCCAGTGTCAGAATGCCCGCCACAGTCCCACTATAAGTCGCTGATCACCGTCATTACTAGTAAAAATACAAAATAAAAAAAAAAATTTATGATGAAATTTTATTTTTAAAATTTTTTTTACTAGACATGTTTAATAGCAAAAAGTCAAAAATATAGTTTTTTTTTTCTCAAAATTGTCAAGGTTTTTTTTTATAGCGCAAAAAATAAAAAAACGCAGAGGTGTACAAATACCACTGAAAGAAAGCTCTATTCAAAGAATGTAAATTTAATTTAACCGCGCAACTGTCAGTTAAAGTAAGGCAGTGCAGTAACGTAAAAAATGGCCTGGTCAAGAAGGTGGGGTAAATCCTCTGGAGGGCAAGTGGTTAAAATGTTTAAATTATTCAGCATATTCAAAATTGTTTTATTCCCTCACATTTGCATGGTCCTTGATAGTCCAGATGAAGATGGTTGCCCTCCTTTGTTCCTTCTCGTTGACACTTTGTTGCAAAGAGATGGCAATCACTGCTGTATGTCTTGTTATCTGTGCCACATATCTGAAAATTAAAAAAAAAAAAGTGATTTACTCGCTAATTTTTGTGCTACCTATCCTACAATATTCACGTGGCAGCCAAGCCAAGTAGGTCCTGACGAAGCTGAGTGAGATACGCCCATCGGCGAAACGCGTTGACGTCATACGTCAGATACGTCACTTCCGGTCATGCGCATTAGGTGGAACGCACGCTGACCTACAAGGAGGAAGCCATCTTCACATGCCATGAGGCAAGCCTAAGCAGCACAGGCGCCAAGAAGGGGCTGGAACCCGCGGTATATCGGCGGATGTCAGCGGTGGTTCCCTGGCCTCTCTGGCCTTGTATGGCAGTACCTATGAAGGACATTCTTTCCTTTCCTATTAGCCATTGCACAGGTGGTGAGTGGACTGTTACAGGACATTAGATATATGGTCCTATGTGATCTATATGACCTATATATCCTATATAGAGTGTAAGCTCTCTCAGTGACTTTCCACATATTATTTGTTTCACTACAGGATGGGGACATCATGGTGCTTTATATAGGAAACAAGTTATATACCACGTATATTTCAACAGGCAGAAGATCTTTTGGGATGTGTCTTGTTTTTCTTACTGAAAGTGGTATGTAGTCCACGTGTAGTGGTGAAGAAACCATTTCAAGCAGAGTGCTGCTTTTTGCATCTTTTCCTCAATCCTGGGAACAAATGGGGCATATTCTCATTTCAAGAGCCCTAGGAAACAGCTGTTTACATTACAGATGAATGGGCCCCAACCACTTGTGCCGGCATAGGAATGTACTGCATCATATATATGATATAATGTCTTTTTTCATATAGGCATAGAGGCATGCTTTTCTCTCTTTTTGACGCATACTGTGCTTGCTGCATTGCATACATGTGATACTTATATCCATAGTATAATTTTTTGAAATTCCCTGATTAGGATATAACCATTATGGTAGGAGCTTAGTCTACATTATTATAACCTGTTTCATGATATACCTATGGTATGATTTTTGGATACACCTCCTTTGGGAAGTGTTCACCTATGCGTTTGTGCTACAGGGACTTTAGACTCCTGTAGTCATTTTCTCTGTTGCACATGCATTCAGACCGGTTTTGGTGTCATTTTATATGGTTTTAGGTCTGTGTGTATTGTCTCTTACTGAGGTGATGGTAAACCAGGGCAACTGCCCACATGTCATATTTATATGTGTAATAAAGCATAATTTTTGGAAATTTTTCTGAGTGTCACATTCTGTTCATTATGTAGCCGCTTTTTCTGTGAATCTCTTTTCACAAATCCCCTTTTTTTGCATGCCTTTTTTGGCTACTGAATGGAGACCATATATTGGGTGATACGATAATTTATTCTACAACCTCTTAATAACTATCTTAAGCCAAGTAGGCTAGCCTGGATTTCCCTGTGAATGACCATAGTTCTTGCTATGGAATTCTGTATATAATTATATATCAACATATTCTGGATCCCCAATATATACAAAATAATCCACATCACACAAGCAGGAAAAATATATCAATCTTGCAGCAGCTAATTTAAAGGATAAGTTCACTTTAAAATAAATAAATAAATGCCCATTTTTAAAAAACATTTTTGCATGTAAAAAAATGCGTATTTACTATTTTTTTTTTTTAGCCTGGAAAGCATTGCACCAGAGATCGGCAGATCGCAGGTACCATGCAGGACTCCTGCAAACTGTCAGTGTATCTACTTGCCCATATATCCCATATGGGCAAGCAGATAGTCTGGCAGGAAGACTCAATTAACTATCACAGCGTTCATCGGCGCTGTGGTAGTTAATTGAGAACTACAAGCCGACAGCCGCTAAGGCTGTTGGAACTTGTTGTTCATTCATTTACAGATCTCTGTAAATGAATGATGCAGCCATGTGGGCGGGGGGGGGGGGGTGATCAGGCAGTAGCTGTAGTGGTGGGAACATGTTACATATTCCACCCTAAAAAACAGGCAGAACATGTTCTCAAAGGTGAACTTATCCTTTCCAGCTCCAATCCTCCAAGAGTATTCACCATGAAATCAAACAAGTCTTTTAACCACTTGCCCGCCGCCCTATAGTTGAAATACTGGTACAGGGCGACAGGGCTGCACAAAATCACGTATATATATACATGATCTGAATCTCCGATTAGAGGGCGCATGTGCACACGCCGCCCTACCCATGCCGCCATTGGCAGCTAGGCATGTCAGTCACTGGATCCTAGCCAGAGATTCCTCACCGGCACCTGGCGATCGCTGTGCAAAGCTGACAGGGGAGAGACCTATGTGTAAACAACACAGGTGTCTCTCCTGCCAGCAAGGACATGCTGCTTTGTATTTCTCTGCACAACAGAGAAATACAAAGCAGCATGTCTCCCGAGTAAAAAAGCACACAGCACGCACAGTAAAACATACACAGCACACAGTTAACCCCTTCCTGCCCAGTGTCATTAGTAGAGTGTAAGTTCTTTTTATTAGCACTGATCACTGTATTGGTGTCACTGGGGATGTCAGTGGCAGTTAGTCAGTTCTCCCTCAGTGTCAGAATGCCCGCCGCAGTCCCACTATAAGTCGCTAATCGCTGCCATTACTGGTATGAAAAAAAATCCCAGTATGTATTCTGCCATTTGTAAGTGGTATAACTTTTACATAAACCAATTAATTTACACATATTGGGATTTGTTTTAGCAAAGACGTGCCGCAGAATACCTTTTGGCCTAAATCTATGATGAAATTTGATTTTTAAAATTCTTTTACTGGACATGTTTTATAGCAAAAAGTAAAAAATATTGTTTTTTTTCAAAATTGTCTGTCTTTTTTTGTTTATAGCGCAAAAAATAAAAAACGCAGAGGCAATCAAATGTCACCGAAAGAAAGCTCAATTTGTGTGAAAAAGGGACATATATTTCATTTATGTACAGCATTGCATGACCGCGCAATTGTCAGTTAAAGTAATGCAGTGCCGTATCGACCAAAAAAATGGCCTGGTCAGGAAGGGGGGTAAATCCTCTGGAGGGCAAGTGCTTAAGAAGAGCTCACACTTCTTTTTAGAGGTAGAGTGGTACTCTCACAAACTGGAGTGCCTACCTTACAGCAGAAAACACAGTGTAATAGACAATCTTCAAATCAGGACCTTTGCATATAAATACATTATTTAGCGGCAATATAGCACACTTAGCAAAAGTAATTCTAATAGCCTATGGGGTACCTGTCTTTCAGTACAATTTGTTCCCAGGTCAGTGCAATTGTATATAGTAGGTGAATATTTAATCACAACTTTACAGCCAACATAAACAGTTTGAAGAAGCCTATATAAACTGCCTCAGAAGTAAATAAACAAACGCTCAGCAGGAATAACAAAATGTAAAGTAATGACTAGGTACTGGATCATACCCATCAGTACTGCAGGAGGTAAAGTAGTATTAAACTCAAAACTAAAAATGTAATATATTGCAGCTTACCAGTCAGTCCTTAGATGTGGTGGCTGCATTAGTTTTCTTTTTTAGACTTTTCCCCCTCTGTTTTCACCTGGTCATCTGGCCAGTAATACACCCACTGTATACAGACACCACTCTGGACGGAAGAGCAAAGTGGACATCTGTTGTCAGTCCAGGGGAGAGGTCTGTTAGGGCTCATGTACACTTCAGCTGCTAAACTGACGTTCTGGAGCTGTTGAGCGTTTTTTTCAGCAGCCCCTGAACTCACCCTAATGTTTTCCTATGTGTCCATGTACACTATGTCGTTTACAGTCATTTACAGGCAGTTGAGTTTACAGTCGTTTTCTTGAACACACCAAAATTGCGTTGAGGAGTAGATTTTACCGGCGTTGCAAACACCAAATGCTTGTAAACACATGTAAACGCGGTTAACCACGTTTATGTGCGTTTGCATTTAGATGTGTTTTTTAACTGTTCCATATCCAGATGCTGTCCAGACCCTTTTTTCTTCATCAAAAATGTATGCAAAGCGTTTTCCATGTATTCAAATGGACCTAGTACACCAGCGCAGTCAGTTCCAGGTTTCGCGTGAAGGAAAAATGGTAGAACGTGCCGCATTATGCTCATGATGGGATCCATAGTGAATACAACCAGAAAAGACAGGTGATCTCAACACATACTGCTCTCTCTGCTTCTGCTCTCTCTATTTCTCTCAAAATGTCTGAAATAGTTAATTATTTACTATTTTTCAGTGCATTCTGGGCATTTTGGATGGTCTCCTGAGGTTATCTTTAAAAAATGCTTCTAAACGCAAACGTGCATAAATGCGGCTAAGCGCGCATAAATGTTGTATGCAAACGCAAACTGACGTTTTTTAACCTACGTTGTTTAGCAGTCAGTTTCCAGCAGTTAGAAGAGTTTTCCAAATGCCCTGTGTACATGAGCCCTTAGTATTAGCAAATTTAGATACACTAACAAATTGAAGCTGAACTCCAGCTCACACTTCATAATCAGTTACAGAAAACAGTGTTTTTTTCTTTTTGGGTTACAAATTTACATGAATAAATAAAAAAGCTGATCTTTTTACATACCCTTGTCAATGTTAAATGGTCTGTCTCATCCCTAAAACTGCAAGACAGCTTATCTGTTAAAAAAACAACAGACTTGCTGGCTTGATCACCAGATGCAAACTAGAAAAAAGGAAGCCTAAAAAAAGAAAGCAGCCATCGCATCTAAGAATTGGTAAGCTGCAATATATGCAATGCTTGCTTTTGGGTTTAATTCTGCTTTAACCATTTGCGGACCGCAATGTACTACTAATGGGCAGCCCGGATAGACCTGTATATCGCTGGCCTCTCCAGCTACAGGGCGCATGTGAGCCCCTGCCCACTCACTCCCATTGTGATTGTACACAGTGGGAGTTTGTCAGCAGGTCCCAGCCAATGATTCATGACCTGATGATCAGCTGTGTCCAATCACAGCCCAGAGCCCTGTATGGACAATCAATACAGGGCTTTGTACAGAGAGGGAAAAATCTCTGCGTCTTCTCCCTGCTTTGCAGGGAGAGGAAAC